GGTCTCTCCAATTTAGCACACTGCCCACCACATAGCAGACATCCAAACATTTGTTAAATGGCTGAGTGTGACTGAGGCTGGCGTGTAGTCTTGCCCTTTCTTTCAGAGCTGAAAGTCAGTGACATTGACTTTTAGTTTTTTGTTGTTGGTAGTTTTATTTTTTTTTTCAATTTTGATTTTGCTTTTTGTTTGTTTTGAAACAAGGCCTCACTGTGTGGCCCAGCCTGGTTTGGAACTCAAGTTCACCCTGCCTTAGCGTCCTCAGGGCTGGGATTACAGCTATGTGCCAGGCCCTACATGACTCTCATGTCACCTGAGTTGACTTACTGTGGTGTTTCCTCGGGCCCTGGACGTGTCACCAGTATGGCTAAGAGGATTGGTAGCACAAAATGTCCTATTTTCGTGTAGCCTGCTAGCACATACAGAGACACGCCTGGAATACCGGGTCATAGGATGCCAAGAGACCTAGAGGTTGATGGGTCAGAGAACTCTCTGCTATAGCCAACTAAACACACATCCACTGCTTTCTCAGGACAAGGTTCCTCAGGAACAGTGAAACTAAGCAAGGAAAGGTGGCATTGTTTGGCTCAGCTTTAAAAAAAAAAATGACTTCATTTACACACGCCAGTTGGTCAGTGAAAGAGTGAATGAAGAGAGGTGACTGAACGGGTCACCGGGCTTCTGCTAATACTTCATTGTTCCGTTTATATAGATAGTGTGTGCTCTTTGATCTTGAGAACGTGTGAAGAGCGAGACTCAACAAACAACAGATTTGCTATTTGGGTTACAGTGTGGAAAGAAAGTCTCTGGAAACAGATTTATATATTAGTTTTTCGCTTTGCCACCAGATGTCCTCCGAGTAGGAAACTATGATGGTCTGAATGACATTTTCAAGTGTGAATGCCCAGCATTTTTGAATAGACAGTGAGGGGAGAGTGTGAGGGAATGTGCATGTGGCCGCAGACTTTTGGATGAGACATGGATTTTGAAGTTTGCCTTACAGGTGTAGCTTTCAGAAGCAATGTTTATTTAGCACTCAAACGTTCGTTTCTCGTACTCAGCAAACATTTACTTAACATAGTTCCCTTTCACTCCGTCCCAAACTGGTCTTTTTAAAATGTGAGTGAGTTTATTATATTTTGGAATTAATGTTAAACTCCTCCAACCTTGAGCTAATTATAATGATGGAAGTTTCGTACTTCGGGTGCAGCATCCCAGCGACTTGAGGAGGGCAGGGCGCAGGCTTTTAAACACCACAGCCACATACGGGACTTTCATGTTGAGGGACTTTCATGTTGAGTTCCGAAGGCAACAACTCATGGCTTTAGGGAAGGTGATGTAATATAAAATCAAAGACTGCACTCGTGTATTGTTTTTTTTTTTTTTTTTTTTTTTTTTTTTTTTTTTTTTTTTTTTTTTTTTTTTTT